ACGGCCCAAGAGGCATCCAAGAGGACCCCCAAGAGGGCCCGCAGAAGCAAAAATGGCCCCATTCCCTGCGGAAAACGTACATGTTTATAATATTCGCCCAGAGGCCTCCAAGCTCGCGCCAAGACGTCCAAAGAGGGTCCCAGAGGGCCCCAAGGTCGCACCAGACGGCCAAAGAGAGTTCCAAGAGGGCCCCAACACGGCTCAAGTGGGGTTCAGGAGTGACCTAGAGGCCCCAGGACCGCTCCCAGAAAGAGCTCACAGGGGTACCCGACCTGACATTTCCAGCCTTCCTCCCCGAAGAGAGCCCTGGGAGACCCCAAGAAGGCCCACCAAAGCATCCAGAATGCTCCAAGGGGTCCCCCACAGGCCCCCAAGAGGCCTCCAAGAGGCCCCCAGGCAGCCGAAGATGGTCCGCAGACAGCCCCCCAAACCGCCGAAGACGGCCCAAGACCCGAGGGGCGACCGGGGCGGGGACGGCGTCGACGACGACGACGCCGACGACGGCGACGCCGCCGACGACGGAGAATTCTCTCTGGGATCCGAGGGCCTCTGCGCTGGCCAGGGGCGGGAGGTGCCGCCGCAGGAGGGCCACGGCGCGCATGGCGTCCAGGAGGCAGTTTTCTTGGACCGGCGGCGGCGGCGGCGGTCCGAAGCGCGGCTCGTCCGCACCGTCCGTTGTGAGGTTCCTCGGGGCTGTTTGGGAGCCTCTTGAAGCCTCTTTTGGGCCTCCTGGGTACCTCTTGGGGGTCTCCTGGGGCCTCTTGGGGCCCCTTTGGGGCCTCCCGGGGCCCTGTGGAGGCGGGAGGCTCGAATTTCTGGTTCGTGGTTCCCCTCCTGGGGCCCTCTTGGGGCCGTCTTGGGTCTCTCTTCGCCCGTCTTGGGCGCGTCTTGGGCCGTCTTGGGGCCCTCCAGAGCCGTCTTGAGGCCCTCTTGGAGGCCTCTTGGGCGTCTTGTGCCCAAAACCTTCGTAAAATTAGCGATTTTGGCCTCTTGGGGCCCTCTGGGGGGGCCTCTTGGAGGCCTCTTGGAGCGTCTTGGGGGCCTCTTTGGCCGTATCTTGGGCATCTTGGGGCCCTCTTGGCGCCCTCTTGGGCCTCTTGGAGCCTGCTGAGCCCGTCGTGGAGCGCTCTTGGGGCACTCTTGGGCCGCCTGGGCTGCTCCAGGGAGGCTCCAGGCCCCCCCCGTCCCGCCATGGGGGGTCGGGGCACCTGTCCTGGGGCCCCCGCCTCGCCCCCAGGGATACATATATTTATACATATACATATGCATATACATATACATATACATATACATATACATATACATATACATATACATATGCATATACATATACATATACATATACATATACATATACACATACACAAACATATACATATACATATACATACATACATACATACATACATACATGCATGCATGCATGCATGCATACATACATACATACATACATACATACATACATAGAAGACTGCAGTGGCGCTTCGCGCCATGCACCTTGGTCCTTGAAGTTTGGTATGCAGGCGGAATGGCAGGAAGGCCAAGCCGACACTTTAGCGATAACTCCTTGTTGCCTTTTCCAGCATCGCCGCTAAAATGATGTTATTCGTTATCCTTCCTCCATGCTTATCTTTCCTCGTTCTCGCCATACCCTGCCCATTTTCCCCATCCTCCTCAGCTCTTGTTGCGGAGGCTCCTCCTCGGAGAGCCTCTGGGGACCTCACAAAAGCTTCAAGCTTTCTTGAGGCCTTCTGGAGGCCTCCTGGGCGTGTTCTGGAGGTTCTGGGGGCTTCCTCGAGCCACCCTGCCTCCAACCGCGGTCTTCCTCAGCGACCGGGTCACGATTTGGAATGCTTCGGAGGGTGTCTTGGGGCAGTCTTGGGCCGCCATGGGGCTCTCTTAGGGCCATCTTTGACCCCTGTTGTGTGGAAGCCCTTTCGGATGGTTGTGGGGCGATTTTGGAGCCTCCCAGGTGGCTTCGGACGCCCAGAAGACTGCCGTATTGGAGCGGCGGGAAGCCGAAAAGAGAACCCCAAAATTCACCAAAAACCCGCAGAAAATCAATGATGTTTGCCTGTTGGGGCCTTCTTGGGAGTGCTCTTAGAGGCTTTTGAGGCCTTCGGGGCCGTCCTGGAGGGCTCTTGGGCCATCTTTAGGTCACGTCGGTCACTCTTGGAGCGCTCTTGTGCTCTTGGGGGTCTCTGGGACTTCTCCGATGACTCCCCTGATCGCCCTAGGGATGCTGGGAAGGCTTGGCAAAACGCCCTGCGAGGCCCGGGGGGCCGCTTCGAGGCTCGTCCGGAGGGTCCCAAAGCCCCAGATCCCAGGAGTCCCGTTTTTTTGGGGGGGTCCCCCCCCGCCCCGGCTTATACAAGTATAGGAAGAGGATATATGTGTATATATATATATATATGTATATATATGTGTGTACGCATGTATGCACGTATGTATGCATGTATGTATGTGTATGTATGAATGTATGTATGTATGTATGTATGTATGTATGGATGTATGCATGCATGCATGCATGCATGCATGTATGTATGTATGTATGTATGTATGTAGGCATGCATGCATGCATGAATGCATGTGTGTATGTAAGTATGTATGCATGTGTGTATGTGTGTATGTATGTATGTATGTATGTATGTATGTATGTGTGTGTGTATGTATGTATGTATGTATGTATGTATGTATGTATGTATGTATGTATGTATGTATGTATGTGTATATGCATTCTGTATGTATGTATGTATGTATGTATGCATGAATGTATGCATGCATGCATGCATGCATGCATGCATGCATGTATGTATGTATGTATGTAGGCATGCATGCATGCATGAATGCATGTGTGTATGTAGGTATGTATGCATGTGTGTATGTGTATGTATGTATGTATGTATGTATGTATGTATGTATGTATGTATGTATGTGTGTGTACATTATGTATGTATGCATGCATGCATGTATGTATGTATGTATGTATGTCTGTATGTATGTATGTATGTGTGGGTATGTATGTATGTATGTGTGTACGTATGCATGTAAACATGTATGTATGTATGTGTGTATGTATGTATGTATGTATGTATGTATGCATGCATGTATGTATGTATGTATGTATGTATGTATGTATGTATGTATGTATGTGTGTGTATGTGTGTATGTATGTGTGTGTTTCAGTCTATATACATGTGTGTACAGATGTATGTATGTATGGATGTATGGATGCATGCATGCATGCATGTATGTATGTATGTGTGTATGTATGTATGGATGTATAGATGTGTGCATGCTTGTACGTATGTATGTATGTATGCATGTACGTACGTGCGTATGTATGTATGTATGCATGAATGCATGCATGCATGTATGCATGTATGTATGTATGCATGCATGTATGTATGTATGCATGTATGTATGTTATTGTTATATGTATGTGCATTGAAAGTGTTTGTGATCATTGGCCGCTGCGTTCAGCGCAGAGGTCCCGCCAGAGGACCGAGGGGCCCATAGACTCAACACGCGGCTGGATCAAGATGTGGACACAGCTCCAGCACTTCCCCATTCTAACGTCGAGAAGCCACTGAAGAACGACACCTGCAGGTTGATGGGAAACCTACGCAATGGCACAGAGGAATATGCTGAAGATCGCTCGCATACGCCCAGCCAGGGTGCAAACCGGCAGCTCGCCTTATGGCATCCCTGGCTTGAGCCCGAGCGGACACGCACGAGGAGAAAGTAGGAGGCACGAACAGAGAATCAGGAGGCGCCTATCCCCAGATGCATAGCGACAGGGACGACAGGGAGGCTCGAACCACCTGCACCCCTCCTTCTCCCGCTCTCCCCCCCTAGAGGAAGGACAAACTAAATAACCAATTACTTTTAGCGGTCCGCGCGTATTGCTTGGATCTTCGCTGGGCACCCCTCCCTGGCGCGCGGAGCGCGCCAGGGGCGGCGGCGGAGGCGCCGCCAGGGGGGGGCCCGGGTGCCGATCCAAGACATCAACGCGGAGCGCCCACAGTTTACGTTGTTGCCGTGAGTTTTCTTCTTCAGCGCTCTCCCTCCCCCCCTCCGTCCCTCTGCCCCAGGCCCTGCGCCTGCTGGGCTGCACGCGCGACAGGACACCTCTGGGGGAGCGTCCGCGGCCCCCGTGCTCACCGCTGGAACACAGCGGAGGCCAATGCACAAGAAACCTTCCGCAAGAAACCCAACCCTGAGACTGGTGTGGGAACGTCACGGCTTCCATCGCAAAACCATCGAAACCCAAGGAACCCAGGGCACACTGGAGGCAACCAGGGTGTGTCTTGGCATGGGCCCCCACTGTAGGCGAGCCTCCGGCGCCGCTGGTCCCTCCCAGAACTGCGACGTCGTGCTTTGTTTTTGTTCCTCGCGCGGGATCCCCCGAAGGCGTGGACCCCGTCTTCCCCCGGGACAGGCGTGTCGTCCCGAGTGGTTTGTTGACGGGGCCCGGCGAGAGCCCCTGGAGAGCGAGGAGTGCCAAGAATTCTGCCCTCGCGACTCCTCCGCAAGGGGCAGACGGTGGGGGCTCTCCCTGTCCTCGAGATGCAGAAGGTGGGGGCTCTCCATGTCCCCGCCCCTCGCGCTCCCCGCACCTCTCCCAGGGTGCGCTCTGACCAACACATTTTCCGAGGGGGGCCCAACTGGCGGCGACGAGGGGTCCTCCTCTAGGACGAGGAGCGGCATCGGCACCTCTTGCACCCACTGACCTCCCCGCCTCCCCTCCCCGCGAAAAGGGGACAGGTTTGTCACGGATGGGGGGGGGGCCCAGACCCCCGACGTCGTGACTTTTTCACAGCGTCGACAGCAGAGGTCTGGACTTCCTTCCGGGGACCGGTTTTTCATCCTGAGTCGTTTTCCGACAGCCCCGAGGCCTGGCGAGGGCCCCTGGAGGCCGAATGTAACGAAAAACCTCCCGTCGTTTTTTTGTTCATTCACAACGCGAGGAGGTCTGGGTGGGGCGCCCCCCAGGCCGCCTCGCAGTAGCAGATGTCCGCGTCGGGGTCCACGCGCGCCGCGAACGAGGGGTCCTTCCTTGAGCTGGCCAGCCGGTCCTGGGCTCGCGGGCGGCCCGCTGGCCCCAAGAGCCGGCCAGCCCTGGCAGCGAGGGAGGCGGGGACTCCTTAGTGTCCACCGCCTGGGGAATCGAGGTCCTGGGGCCCGAGCCCAGACCCCTTCGAGCTGTGAACAAAATCACGACAGGAGGCTTTTCTTACTTATCGGATCGTTGTCGGCTTCCAGGGGCCCTCGCCGGGCCTCGGGACTACCAAACGACTCAGAATGAAAAACGGGTCCCCGAGAAGGCGCATAAAGAAAATTAGAGCAGCTGGATGGGTCCCCAGGGGACGTCCTTTTTGTACACAGACCCCGCTCCCAAGACCCCCGGCGTCATGGTTGTTTCACGACGTCGACCCTCAGAGGTCTGAACCCCTTTCACGCGTGTCTGTTCTTCATCCTGAACCGTGTTCTGTTGTTCCCGAGGCCTGAGGGTCACGTTGCGAAAAAGTCACGACGTCGGGGTTTCTGGGAGGGGGGGCGGTGCAGAATGCAGGATGCGGGGCACGGGGAGGGCCCGAGTCTATCCATGTAAGGTCCAACCCTAGAGGCCCCCGAGGATCCATCCTGCGGGCGGTGGGGATGGATCCATCCCCGCCTCGGCTTCGACAGGAGGGGATCAGGAGTGACCCGGGAAAAGGCGGGAAACGTATGAGAATTATGCCAAATGAAAATCCCAATCAGTGGATGGTTTGATCGATAAGGAGATCGACCGGGAACCCTGGAACCCAGAACCCACCGAAATCCGCCCAAAATCAATGACTAGGAACCCGGGACCCCGGCAGCGGGAACCCGGGAACCCAGCCGGCCGCCAAAATCGGCGGGACGCTTTCGCCAAATCTATCAATTTCCGCTCGGACCCCTTCAGTGCAAACACTGATTGGGAAACAAGTGGATGAACATGGCATCCCGGAGGTCCGCGCAGGGTTCTCACATCGGCGCTGGATCCAAAAGGTGTGAGCTCATGGCGCTTGTGCTCTTCAAAAGAGGGAAGGAGGGCCCGCGCCCCCGCAAAAGGAGGGCAGGCGCGCCTGCAGTAACTACACGCAGGCGCCCGGCGAAGGCCACGGAGTGTGGAACTCTGCCTCTGCGGAGGCGTCCACGAATGGGCACAGTCAATCCGCATCGAAAATTATGTTGCATCCTCGAGGGACCTTGTCTGTCCCGTCGAAGGCCCTATCCACGTCGGATCCGTGTCGAATCCGGAGCACGCATCGAGCCCGCGTCGGGCCCAAGAACAGACACCAATTTTGGGGACAGGCGAGGTCCCCCGAAGACGCAACAGAAAGAAAGGATGCGCAACCTTCCCAGCCCAGGTGACCCTGGCACCCTTCCCCCTTCGGCCCCTCCTGGGCCGCTCTTTTTGCTGCACCCCGCCCGCAGAGTGCCGGCGTAGCCTTCCAAGGCCACTGCGTGCTCCTCGCGCAGGCTTCTTCCGCGGTTTGACTGTCAGGGGCCGATCGCCATGAACGGGGACGAGGGATGAAGCACGACGGGGCCCGAGGCCGAGCAGGGCGAGGGAGGAGGAAGGGGAGCGAGGAGGGGAGCTCGAGAGGAAGGGAAGGGAAGGAAGGAGGGGAAGGAAGGAGGGAGGGAGGGAAGGAAGGAAGGGAAGGAAGAACGGGATGAAGGAAGGGAAGGAGGGAAAGGAAGGAAGAAGGAGCATGGACAAAAGGGGAAGAGGCAGAGAGCCCAGGCGTCATGATTCTAGCATGACGTGGACCCTCAGATATCGCTCGACCCCTTCCCCGGGACCGGCGCTTCGTCCTGAGTCGACTCTCTTGACGCTCCGGGGGGGCCCAGCGAGGGCCCTCGGAGGCCGAAGACTGTCAAAAACCTCCCATCGTGATCTGTATCGCCGAGAATTGTCAAATACCTCCCGTCGTGATTTTTGTCATGGCCCGAGGGGGTCTGGCAGGAGGGGGACTCGAGGTCGAGCTGGAGCAGCGCAGGGGGTTGGCCGAGCCGCGTTCGATCTCGAGCTCGAGCTCGAGGTCGAGCGGGGTGAGGCAGGTGGAAGAAGGATCGAGAAGGGAGCCTGAGAGGACACAGAAGGACGGAAGAAGCGAGGCAGAGGGAGGATGTTAGGAGCAGTGGGAAGGGACAGGGAGGAAGGGCGCCCGAGGTCGAGCTCGAGCTCGAGCAGCGCAGCGGAGGTATGCTATGCGCTCGTGCCCCACAGGGACGCGACGCCGATCAGCAAACGCACACAGAGGAGAAATTGAACGGGACAACGTCGCTTCGTAAACGCCTGGGGCCGTCTAGCAAACGCTAATTTATGGAGGTCGGGGTGGAAGGGCGAAGGACACAAACATGCAACTACTTGGAGAAGCGATCGGGGGAACGATTCGGCGGAAGGAGGGGTACCTTGAGCAACACTCGTGGAGCGCAGAGGCATCATCCTCATGCGGTGGGGGCCTTGGAAAAGGAACCCGTAGGTAAGGTAGCCAGAGCCTGGAAGCCAGCGGAACTCCAATCGTAGACCCAGACCCCCTCGGGTAATTACAAGAATGATGACGGGAAATTTTGCCTTACTTTTCGGCCTCTGGAAGCCCTTACCGGGCCTCGGGACCGTCAACGAAACGGCTCAGGATGGAAAATCGGTCCAGGGAAATGGGTCGAGACCTCTGAGAGCCGACGTTCTTCAAACAATCGTGACATCGGGAGTCTGGGAGGTGCCCCCGCCGGCTCCCGCCATCCTCAGAGAGCTGTGCACGTCATGCACAGGACCCTTGCTCTCTGACTCCCCAGACCCCCGCGCTCGTGGTGAAAGAGTCGCGGCGCGAAGTTTCTCGCTATGTTCGGCCTCTGGGGGCCCAGACTGGGCCTCAGGACCGTCAACTAAACGGCTCGGGGTGAAAAACTGGTCCTGGGGAATGGGTCGAGACCTCTGGGGGTCGACGTTATGAGACAATCATGACGTCGGGGGCTTGGGTCTTCGGCATTTGATGTGCCAAGGAGACACCTCGTGGAGTGCCTCGTGGTGAAACACGTCGTGGGGTACCTCTCTGGCACGGGACGCCTCGTGGTGGAACGCGGCGACCCCAATCCCCGGCTTTTGGGGGCCTTCTACTGGACCAGAACTTTTAGAACCAACTCTGGACCATACGATGGGGAAGGCGTCCGTACATCCGAATAGCTCCCTGAAGGTATCCCCAGTGCGGCCGCTATTTCGCGCAACCCTGAGAGAGCAGGAAAACAGCTCTCATGATAAGCACCTCGAGAAGCGAAACCGCCCAGTACCCAAGGGAGGAACCGGACGGGACAGCGCCGCTTAGTAATTGCCTGGGGCCGCTTAGCAGGGCACAACTATGCAACTACTTGGAGAAGCGATCGGGAGAATCGGTTCGGCGGAATAGGGGTACCCTGGGCAACAGTTCGAGATCAACTCAGGAGAGTAAGGGGGATCGCCCCCCTGGACCCCGACGAGTTCACGCTGGCTCACGCACTGGCGCGCCGCACCTGGGACCAGGATCCTTAAAACAGCAGCTCCAGAAGCTCCGCACCGTTGGAGCCGTGCCAGGGTATGGAAAAACATGGCGAGCAGGAGAAGCAGCTTCTCCTCCCACTGCTACTCCTCCTCACTCGCCCTCGTCGTCCTCCTCCTCCTCCTCCTCCTCGTCGTCGTCCTCCTTATCCTCCAGCTCGTTCTCGTCCTCTTCCTCCTCCTCTTCCTCCTCCTCCTCCTCCTCCTCCCTCGCCCTAGTTCTCATCCTCCTCCTCTTTCTCCTCCTCTGTCGCCGCGGAGGGGCTTCAGCTGGAGATCACGCCTTTCTTCCTGCCATCTCTGGCTCGAAGCTCGTGGTTCCGCTCGTGTGAAGACTCAACTTTTACGTGCCATGCATCGTGCCAACGCCATGGTTCACAAAGTCGACCGCAAGTCAGCTGCGTTCCACCATCAGGAGGGCGAGTTCGGCAGTGCAGCCGAAGCGCGAGAGTAAGGTTGGGCCGAGCGCGCAAGACGGTATGGGGACGCGCATCGAGAGACGCCGCGTGAGAAGTGCAGACAACATCTGTCCTCGCTGACGCACAACACCGACGTAATTCTCCTTCTCCCCCGCGGCACGTGCAGCATTGAATGAGGCGGCAAAAACGAATACACCCAATGTCCGAGCCTCCGCTCTGTCTAATGCACATTCCCATGCCGTTCCTGTAGCCCCAAATCAATAGCAGTCGTGGTGTGTCTCTCTCTCTCTCTCTCTCCATTTCTCTCTCTCTCTCTCTTACTATACGTCTCCCGCTCACTGTCGATGTGTCTTTCTTTCTCTATCTCGGCCAATATCTTCCCCACCTTCCGCGCATTTAGCCTAACGGTCGCTCTCAAGCCGTAGGACAGTGTGTGCAAGCGCGCGCTCAAGATGGGACATGTTCGCCTGGAGCGCACCGTGGATTAGCACACCTGTTTTGAATACATT